TACCATTCACTTATATATCCATACCTCACCTATGCTATCTGTGCTTGGGGTTCAACTGCAGCAACACACCTAAAGCCAATAATAACCAACAAAAAGCTGCAGTAAGAATAATCACTAAATCCCATCCCTGGCAACACACCCCCCCACTCTTCATAGATCTAAACTTACTCCCTGTTCAGTACATCCACACTTACTACTGTGCAATCTACATCTACAGGACCTTAAATTCCAATATTAACCTTGACCTAAAATGCTTTCTTGATAGTTGCGAGAGAACCCACAGGCACAACACCAGACACAAACATCTCTATGACATTCCCCGGGTCCGACTAAACCTTTACAAAAATTCAATGTATGTCAAAGGCCCTAAAATCTGGAACACCCTACCTGAAAATTCCAAAACTGCAGACACATTCATCACCTTCAAAACTACCATCAGAAAACATCTTATCTCCCTGATACACCCTGTCAACTAATAATACGAATACCACCTGGTGGTTCACACTTACACTCACTCACTCATTTGACCATAAACAGAAATATCAATCTCAATCTCAAAATAATGAATCTTAACTAGTCATAAGTTGGCCTGTGATACTCCAATACTGAAACTATGTATAGTGCCAAAACAAAAGCATTCACATTGCTAAACTCACAACTAGTATTTAGTCACTTAGCCATAATACCAACTTACCTCATAATTTTGTAATATTTTAAACTTAAGATTTAATATAAGTCTGCCCGAAATGCCTAGCCATGCTAGGTGTTCTAGTGGTACACTCTGTAATTATTATTTTACTACATGTAAACCACACAATAACCAAATTCTGTAAACTCAGCATTGTAATCCTTATAGAGAATAAACTTTGAATTTGAATTTACGTATGTCACGAGTGGTGGTGGTGTTGGGTTATCAAAGTCACTGGCAGCATAAGCCATATAGTGGTGGTGGCAACGGCGGTGTTGTTAGTGGCCCTATATACCTCCAATAACATTAGAGGAGATAGTTTCGTGTCCTTTTTTCTGCCGCTTAATCACTTATTTGCTACACTGTTAATGCTACACTTTATCACTGGCTGGCACTATAGCCTTTATTGACTCCTGCTGCTTTAGTATCATACATATCGTAGAATCACTGAAGAAGGCGCATTCTCCCCTCTCTCTTCCTCCTCCACTTTCGTACTTTTCTACAATTTCTTTCTTCAGTTCTATCATGTTTCTCACTTTCTTTACCTGGAGTTTACCTGGAGAGAGTTTCGGGGGTCAATGCCCCCGCGGCCCGGTCTGTGACCAGGGTCGCACTAGGAAGTTTCTTTTGGCCCATGGTTAATTATATAGCAGTCGCATTCAATCAACAAGCACAAAAACAATGGATTATTGTGAAATGTATGGCTGAAAGTGCAGGGTAATGTTCACACGCCTGCTCGCGCCTGCAGGCGCGGGCAGGCAGACAGGTCTGGTACAGCAGCCAAAACTCAAGGTACTGTTCGAAACTCAAGATAAAATTTAGCCAAAAAAAGTGACCGAAACTCAAAATGGCTGAAACTTGGAGTGGCTGAAACTCGAGGTTCCACTGTACGTACATGCATTTTTTAGGCCTACCTCTATTGCTCACTTAATATGTGATAATGTAAATTTGTTATCACGCTTTTATATGTGTTTGAAAGTGAAGATAGGCCAAGTTTCACTTTACAGTGATTTTCACTTTACAGCAGTAGCTCAGAGCCTAACCTGCTGTGTAAGCGGGGCCCTCCTGTATATACCGAATATTCCGAGTAGGGCAATGTCGGGTTAAGTATTTCCCTAAGTTTGAAATGCTGAAGCACCTTTAAACACATTTAATATTATAGGAAATTAGTGTACATAATGTTAAACGTTAAAAAAACAAATAGAAAAACTCGTATTTCGATGTCAGATTGTAAAATGTAAATATTGTTAGCATGTTTACACCACTGTTCCGATGAATGGTCATTTTTTCACCAACCTCAGCACACCATAAAATTTCACGTTTTTTTTAATCAGATTCCACAAATTTTAATCTTATTTGATTCTGAAAAATGCACGTTTTATGCTATAAGATTTTTTTTTTTTTTTTTTTTTTTTTTTCAAAATCTTACCTCACACACAAGATTCTTTTATTTGGGGATGTGCCACAGTTTACAGGTTAACAGAAATCATAAATCCTTATTTTCCACTCACCTTTCATTCTGCCTCTTCTCTTCTTTAACTTATGACCAATTTTCTTGCTTTGCTTTCCTTTCATCTCACTCAGTCCCATTTCATCAACATGTGATTCATTTTAAGCACTTTATTTACTTGTGTTTTCATCTTCATTCTCATAAAAGTAAAATAATTTTGTGACAAGTGTTTAAAAAATAAAAAATGTGGATGTTTTTTAATGAGACAAATTTAGAATAGATAATATCCATTTATTTTAAGTGATACTAAAAGAGGAGGCAGTTAGGGTAAGATATAAACAGCTGTTGGAGGATAGATGGGCTAATGAGAGCATAGGCAATGGGGTCGAAGAGGTATGGGGTAGGTTTAAAAATGTAGTGTTAGAGTGTTCAGCAGAAGTTTGTGGTTACAGGAAAGTGGGTGCGGGAGGGAAGAGGAGCGATTGGTGGAATGATGATGTAAAGAGAGTAGTAAGGGAGAAAAAGTTAGCATATGAGAAGTTTTTACAAAGTAGAAGTGATGCATGGAGGGAAGAGTATATGGAGAAAAAGAGAGAGGTTAAGAGAGTGGTGACGCAATGTAAAAAGAGAGCAAATGAGAGAGTGGGTGAGATGTTATCAACAAATTTTGTTGAAAATAAGAAAAAGTTTTGGAGTGAGATTAACAAGTTAAGGAAGCCTAGAGAACAAATGGATTTGTCAGTTAAAAATAGGAGAGGAGAGTTATTAAATGGAGAGTTAGAGGTATTGGGAAGATGGAGGGAAATTTTGAGGAATTGTTAAATGTTGTTGAAGATAGGGAAGCTGTGATTTCGTGTATAGGGCAAGGAGGAATAACATCTTGTAGGAGTGAGGAAGAGCCAGTTGTGAGTGTGGGGGAAGTTCGTGAGGCAGTAGGTAAAATGAAAGGGGGTAAGGCAGCCGGGATTGATGGGATAAAGATAGAAATGTTAAAAGCAGGTGGGGATATAGTTTTGGAGTGGTTGATGCTATTATTTAATAAATGTATGGAAGAGGGTAAGGTACCTAGGGATTGGCAGAGAGCATGCATAGTTCCTTTGTATAAAGGCAAAGGGGACAAAAGAGAGTGCAAAAATTATAGGGGGATAAGTCTGTTGAGTATACCTGGTAAAGTGTATGGTAGAATTATTATTGAAAGAATTAAGAGTAAGACGGAGAATAGGATAGCAGATGAACAAGGAGGCTTTAGGAAAGGTAGGGGGTGTGTGGACCAGGTGTTTACAGTGAAACATATAAGTGAACAGTATTTAGATAAGGCTAAAGAGGTCTTTGTGGCATTTATGGATTTGGAAAAGGCATATGACAGGGTGGATAGGGGGGGCAATGTGGCAGATGTTGCAGGTGTATGGTGTAGGAGGTAGGTTACTGAAAGCAGTGAAGAGTTTTTATGAGGATAGTGAGGCTCAAGTTAGAGTATGTAGGAAAGAGGGAAATTATTTCCCAGTAAAAGTAGGCCTTAGACAAGGATGTGTGATGTCACCGTGGTTGTTCAATATATTTATAGATGGGGTTGTAAGAGAAGTAAATGCGAGGGTTTTGGCAAGAGGTGTGGAGTTAAAAGATAAAGAATCACACACAAAGTGGGAGTTGTCACAGTTGCTCTTTGCTGATGACACCGTGCTCTTGGGAGATTCTGAAGAGAAGTTGCAGAGATTGGTGGATGAATTTGGTAGGGTGTGCAAAAGAAAAAAATTAAAAGTGAATACAGGAAAGAGTAAGATTATGAGGATAACAAAAAGATTAGGTGATGAAAGATTGGATATCAGATTGAAGGGAGAGAGTATGGAGGAGGTGAATGTATTCAGATACTTGGGAGTGGACGTGTCAGCGGATGGGTCTATGAAAGATGAGGTGAATCATAGAATTGATGAGGGGAAAAGGATGAGCGGTGCACTTAGGAGTCTGTGGAGACAAAGAACTTTGTCCTTGGAGGCAAAGAGGGGAATGTAGGAGAGTATAGTTTTACCAACGCTCTTATATGGGTGTGAAGCATGGGTGATGAATGTTGCAGTGAGGAGAAGGCTGGAGGCAGTGGAGATGTCATGTCTGAGGGCTATGTGTGGTGTGAATATAATGCAGAGAATTCGTAGTTTGGAAGTTAGGAGGAGGTGCGGGATTACCAAAACTGTTGTCCAGAGGGCTGAGGAAGGGTTGTTGAGGTGGTTCGGACATGTAGAGAGAATGGAGCGAAACAGTGACTTCAAGAGTGTATCAGTCTGTAGTGGAAGGAAGGCGGGGTAGGGGTTGGCCTAGGAAAGGTTGGAGGGAGGGGGTAAAGGAGGTTTTGTGTGCAAGGGGCTTGGACTTCCAGCAGGCATGCATGAGCGTGTTTGATAGGAGTGAATGGAGACAAATGGTTTTTAATACTTGACATGCTGTTGGAGTGTGAGCAAAGTAACATTTATGAAGGGGTTCAGGGAAACCGGCGGGCCGGACTTGAGTCCTGGAGATGGGAAGTACAGTGCCTGCACTCTGAAGGAGGGGTGTTAATGTTACAGTTTAAAAACTGTAGTGTAGAGCACCCTTCTGGCAAGACAGTGATGGAGTGAATGATGGTGAAAGTTTTTTTTTTTCGGGCCACCCTGCCTTGGTGGGAATCGGCCAGTGTGATAATAAAAAAAATAAAATAAACATAGGGTATAGAAAAAGCAACACTTTAGTTTTATTATGCTCATAAATAAAATTGTTTAATTTGTTTTAATTGATATGTTACATTTTAGAATTTTTAATGCCAGTAAATTTAGCATATTTGCATATAAATAAAATATTTGAGAACCAAATTTAATATAGAGAAACTTTCAGCCTCATGTTAAGCTGGAATATATCCCAGTTAAAGGTCAAAAGCAGTACTGTGATATGATTCGAGACTTATCTGGCGCATTAGACAAACACCGTGCAACCCCAGACTACTTAGAGGCTACAGTCTTCAGCAAAGAAGAAGCTGTCATCATGGTTGGAAAATTTGTTGATGTTCCTTATAATGAACAATATAAGGTAAATTTACTTTTTTTATCACATACTAAAAGAGCTGTGTCTAGAGTCAAGATCTAAGAGTTATGAAAAAATTATTTTGTTATAAGCAGCCATTGTATAAGCTCAGTGTTTTACTGCTTTCTTGTTATTCTTTGCATTATCATTATTTCTTTATATAAAGAAATGTTCTTAGTAAGTAGTTAAATGTGGAACAGCAGTGTGTATAAAATTATTGTACAATACAGTGGAACCTCTACTTACAAGTTTAATCCGTTCCATGACCTTGCTCGCATCTGGATTTGCTAGTTTGCAGAGTCAATTTTCTTCATTTAAATTAATTGAAATGGAATTAATTCATTCCAGTGGGATTCCAGGCACGACAGGATATTTCAATAATTTCCCTAATACCAACTCTCTGGCGTATTTATCTATCGCAATTCATCTAATATGACATAATAAACAATATTATTAACATAGAAACCTGATATATACACTTGAATAAAATACATGTCATTACGTATGTGGCTAGTGGTGGTGACAGCTTCCATTATTGTTGTTGAAGTTTATAGGGCCACCACAGCAGCCATTCCTGCTCCTGACTACATGTGTAGAGAACCTAGGATAACCCAAAAAGTCAGGCAGTGACTTATAAGTGCTACACTCTTAATGCTACACTTAATTCCTACACTCTTAATTGCTACACTTAATTGCTACACTTAATTGCTACACTTAATTGCTACACTTAATTGCTACACTCTTAATGCTACACTTAATTGCTACACTCTTAATGCTACACTTAATTGCTACACTCTTAATGCTACACTTAATTGCTACACTCTTAATGCTACACTTAATTGCTACACTCTTAATGCTACACTTTGCCATTGCTTCATGTTGTCTGCCACTGCTACCTCATGATGTCTGCCACTGCTGCTTCATGTTGTCTGCCACTGCTACCTCATGATGTCTGCCACTGCTGCTTCATGTTGTCTGCCACTGCTGCCTCATGATGTCTACCACTGCTGCTTCATGTTGCCTGCCACTGCTACCTCATGATACCTGCTCCCACTTTTCCTAGCATGTTGAAGAGCTTTCCAGTATTTGAAGGTTGAGGGGCAGTGCCAGTCGGGCAGGTATTGGATGGTGATGTCATTTGTTTATTCTTGAACATCACCAAAGAATCTAACATTTCTGCTACTTGGAGCTCAATTTCAAGGTACTTTTCATTGTGAAACCAATCAAAATCATATCTGTTTCTGTAGTATATCTTCCATTCTATCAAATGAGACCAAAAAATGAGAATACAACCATAGAAACCATATGAAAATATACCACTAAGGGGAGGCTAATGGCAGAGAAGTGAACTCCGTTATTTATGGTCTGATTTCTTTCATTTTTGGTGTATGCTAAGAAGCATCTTTCCATCATACATTTCCCAAGTTTCAATAAGATAATCCAACAAACAACTGAGATCCAATTCTCTAGATCAAGAGCAAGAGCCCCTTACCAATGTCAAGGAACCTCCCTTGAGGCCCACTCGCATCTGGAAATTTTGCTTGCGTCTGGAAGCAAAAAATCGACCAAGCGACTGCTCGTATCTGGAAAAACTCGCACATGGATGCACTCGTAAGTAGAGGTTCCACTGTACAGTGGACCCTTAGTTATCGGCCATTCCGGATATCGGCCAACTCGTTTATCACTCTTTTTTTGACCAAAATTTTGTTCCGGTTATCAGCTGTTATTTCGCTTATCGGCTGCGTCCACCAACCCGCCTGCCAGCTGCTCGCGTGTTCATGAGTCAGTCTGGTTGTGTGTCTGGGCGAGTGATGAAGCTTTTGCTCATTCATCCAAACATTTTGGTATAATCCATTGCTTTTTGTGGTTATTGATTGAGTACAACTACGAAATAAGCAACCATGGGTCCAAAGAAAGTTCCTAGTAAAGTTCCTTGGGTACAGAAAGTGAGAAACACAATGGAATTTAAGAAAGAAGTTGTTGAAAAGTATGAGAGTGAAGGAGGAAGAGAGAGAGGAGAATGTGCCTTCTTCAATGATTCTACGATACATATGATACTAAAGCAGCAGGAGTCGATAAAGACTATAGCGCCAGCCAGTGATAAAGTGTAGCATTAACAGTGTAGCAAGTAAGTTAAGCGATTAAGAGATAGAAAAAGGACGACACGAAACTGACTCCTGCAATGCTTTTGGAGGTATATAGGGTCACTGACAACATACTCCGCCCTGCGTATCTTCCACCACTAAACCAATGCCAGCATCTCCTCCAAGGAGACGGCCGACTTGTTGAAAAAAAAAAAAAAAAAATTCTTATTTGTAAATTAAAGTGTAAATATTTCTTATTTATAAATTACATACATTGTTTGTGTGAATTTTTTATGAGAGAGCCACAAAATTTGATTAACACAAGCCTATCCGATGTTATCCTGACGCCAAATGACTTCGAACAGGCGATAAATGACATGCCCATGCACTCTGCCCCAGGGCCAGACTCATGGAACTCTGTGTTCATCAAGAACTGCAAGAAGCCCCTATCACGAGCCTTTTCCATCCTATGGAGAGGGAGCATGGACATGGGGGTCGTCCCACAGTTACTAAAAACAACAGACATAGCCCCACTCCACAAAGGGGGCAGTAAAGCAACAGCAAACAACTACAGACCAATAGCACTAACATCCCATATCATAAAAATCTTTGAAAGGGTCCTAAGAAGCAAGATCACCACCCATCTAGAAACCCATCAGTTACACAACCCAGGGCAACATGGGTTTAGAACAGGTCGCTCCTGTCTGTCTCAACTATTGGATCACTACGACAAGGTCCTAAATGCACTAGAAGACAAAAAGAATGCAGATGTAATATATACAGACTTTGCAAAAGCCTTCGACAAGTGTGACCATGGCTTAATAGCGCACAAAATGCGTGCTAAAGGAATAACAGGAAAAGTCGGTCGATGGATCTATAATTTTCTCACTAACAGAACACAGAGAGTAGTCGTCAACAGAGTAAAGTCCGAGGCAGCTACGGTGAAAAGCTCTGTTCCACAAGGCACAGTACTCGCTCCCATCTTGTTCCTCATCCTCATATCCGACATAGACAAGGATGTCAGCCACAGCACCGTGTCTTCCTTTGCAGATGACACCCGAATCTGCATGACAGTGTCTTCCATTGCAGACACTGCAAAGCTCCAGGCGGACATCAACCAAATCTTTCAGTGGGCTGCAGAAAACAATATGAAGTTCAACGATGAGAAATTTCAATTACTCAGATATGGTAAACATGAGGAAATTAAATCTTCATCAGAGTACAAAACAAATTCTGGCCACAAAATAGAGCGAAACACCAACGTCAAAGACCTGGGAGTGATCATGTCGGAGGATCTCACCTTCAAGGACCATAACATTGTATCAATCGCATCTGCTAGAAAAATGACAGGATGGATAATGAGAACCTTCAAAACTAGGGAGGCCAAGCCCATGATGACACTCTTCAGGTCACTTGTTCTATCTAGGCTGGAATATTGCTGCACACTAACAGCACCTTTCAAGGCAGGTGAAATTGCCGACCTAGAAAATGTACAGAGAACTTTCACAGCGCGCATAACGGAGATAAAACACCTCAGTTATTGGGAGCGCTTGAGGTTCCGAAACCTGTATTCCCTGGAACGCAGGAGGGAGAGATACATGATTATATACACCTGGAAAATCCTAGAGGGACTAGTACCGAACTTGCACACGAAAATCACTCACTACGAAAGCAAAAGACTTGGCAGACGATGCACCATCCCCCCAATGAAAAGCAGGGGTGTCACTAGCACGTTAAGAGACCATACAATAAGTGTCAGGGGCCCGAGACTGTTCATCTGCCTCCCAGCACACATAAGGGGGATTACCAACAGACCCCTGGCAGTCTTCAAGCTGGCACTGGACAAGCACCTAAAGTCAGTTCCGGATCAGCCGGGCTGTGGCTCGTACGTTGGTTTGCGTGCAGCCAGCAGCAACAGCCTGGTTGATCAGGCTCTGATCCACCAGGAGGCCTGGTCACAGACCGGGCCGCGGGGGCGTTGACCCCCGGAACTCTCTCCAGGTAAACTCCAGGTATAGTGGTGGTCGCCTCTGCTGCTGCCTCCACTACCACTAATATGTACGGTTTATGCTCTCAGTGGCCCTTATAATCCCAACAACAATAACACCACCACCACTCCACATACGTAATGACATACGTTATTCATTCTAGAGTGTATATCATGTTTTTATGTTACTAATATTGTTTATTATGTCATATTAGATGAATTGTGATAGATAAATAAGTCATAGTGTTTTTGATAATAGCATCATATTCAAGCATTTTGCCCTGTCTCCCAACAATAAACTCGCCTCCCTCTCCACTTCTTGCCATTTTGCATATGCCAACAAGACTCTTCAATAAAGGTAAACGTGATTTAAATGTTCATTTATCCATTTCATTAGTCATTTTATTTAGTTCTCATTGTTTTGTGTATGTAAAACTGCAGTTAATCTTTAAATAACGTATTTTTTTAATATTTTTTACTTGTCTGAAACGGATTAATTGGATTTACATTAATTCTTATGGGAAATATTATTTCGGTTTTCGGCCATTTTGGTTTTAGGCTGACCTTCTGGAATGGATTACGGCCGATAACCAAGGGTCCACTGTATATTTTTATTTGTTTGAAGCTTTGCGAAGTATTTTATACAAAATTTAAGTTTAATTGCTTAGTCAGTATTGTAATGAAATGTCATTTTTCAGATCAATCATGTGACACGGTGGTATAAACCATGGTTCTACAAGCATGTAGAAAAATTCCTTAAAAAGGGTAGAGGTTATGAGTACATTCCTCTGGAAGACTACCTCCTTCGCCATAACAGATCAATATTTTGGGTTGTAGAAACAATGATTCCCTTTGGTAATAACCTTCTCTTTAGGTATTTACTTGGCTGGCTACTGCCACCCAAAATTGCCTTTCTTAAATTCACCACAACACCTGGTGTACGAGCCATGACTTTTACAAAGCAGGTAAGTCCTGTGTTATGGCAGAATATATTTAGGGATTAAAAGGTTCTTCTTTTACACTCTTTCTTCATTCTTTTAACCTTTTATTTACTCTCCATATACTCAACCCTCCTTATATCACTTGCTTTGTAAAAACCTCTCATATGCTAACTTTTTCTCCCTTACCACTCCCTTTACCTCATCATTAATAATATTACCCTTTAACATTAATGTCTTGTAGGTTTAATGCCTAATTATATTTTTTTTTCAACATGTTGGCCGTCTCCCACAGAGGCAGGGTGACCCCCCCCCCCCCAAAAAAAAAGGAATACTTTTACCATCATTCACACAATGATACTTATCTTGTAATAAAAGAAAATTTACAAAGAATTCCCTTGATATAAGTATCATACTGATTTTATTTAAAAAAATTACAGTTGAGCATCAGTATAGTACAGTGACCGCTTATTCAGAAAAGGCATTTTGGAAAATTTGATGATAAATTTATAATACAGTAGTATTATATCATTTAGATGACTTATAAAAACCTTTACAGTTAAGATGATCCATTAAAAAAGGGGCAGGGGCTGGTAGACGAATTAGTCATTCAGCAAGGAGCATAGTATGTATAATGGTAGTGGGTTTGTGTCAACCATCTTTGATATTGTTTTAATGTCACCTTCAAACCATTTATAACATTTTTAGTATATTTTTAAATGTTTTTACAGTAGTGTACTGTATATTGTAATAAACAGAATAAAGAAAATCAGCTCTAATATACATTATTTAGGTATGCATACTGGTCAGAGAGCCCGTCGTAAGTCCGACTCATTGGTAAACGAGTACATCGCTATGTGTGGAGAGGTTGTATATTAAAGAATAACAAATTATTATTAATTAACATACTTTTCAGGTGTTCCAAGATATTGTGCTTCCCATGACACACTTAGAAGATCAGATTGATAAGTGTGCAGAACTTCTCGATGTGTATCCTATACTTGTATATCCCTGCCGTTTATATGACCATGGGCCCCACAGGTAATGTGTAAAAGTAGTTATGTATATTGACTGTTGAGCAATATAGAGAGAGTTGTGTAGGATTTAATTCTTTGCAAGTATTTAAAACTCTTATGAAGATATTTTTTTTTTTAATTTTTTTGCCTTAGAAATGGCATACTGTTTATGTCAGTTAACTTTTTCAGTAGTTGTCACATAGATCTATGTTATTGATGCCAGGGTCCCTCACTTAGATCTATGCATTCTCTTATATGTAGGCCTGGTAAGCCTATGTATGAGAGAATAAGTGTACAGTCAGTGTGCATAGTATACAAAAAATTGGGGCCCCTGCAGTGTATTGTGAGAACACTATATTTAGTACACTTTGTTCACCATGCAACATGGATGCAAAAGACTCTCAGCAAATTGAATAAGTTTTATTCCTGACTGAGAGCTCCTACAATGATAATTATGAAACTGTTGATGAGTTCTTTGGTTTTGAACATTATAATGACTGAAAATGTCAGTTAGGGTGCCAGAAATATCACTGCGAGATGATTGGCAAATACCCTCTCATTTGAAGTTTGGTGAAGAAATGAAGAAAGAAGAAATGGGCTCAGAAAGGATGTTATGTCTGTGCACACAACAAAGCACTCACCAAACTAAGAGAAACGTTCTTTAACTGTAGAGAGTATACAACACCAGTGTGTATGGAGCTGTGTTTCGAGGACTTCCACAGACTACAACAGTTCTAGGAACATGACTACTGCCTGTATATATGTACATAAATGTTAGAACAGTAGTAATGTGGAACATTTGTAACTGTGTGTGTTTACGTTGTAGTGTAGACATGTTTTGTAAACATTGAACTGATAACATTATTAGTGTGGGTATTGTGTTGCTTACAACAGATGGATATATGTTCTTCGTGCATGATATGGGTCTCACAGGTCTCAAAAGTTACTGGAAAATCCATAAAATTAGAAAACCCCAGAAAAAAAATACAAAATAATAAAATTGAAATGTGGAGTGTGTAGTAATTGCTGATGTTGCTGTCAGAGGGTCAGTGACCTGCAACTTCATGCCTCTATATCTCATTAAGTACTGCTGGGATTTTTTTTTTTTTTTGCTGCCAGGAAAATATATTCTTTTAATCTCTAAGAATTTTTTTTTTTTTTTTCAATAAGTCAGCCGTCTCCCACTGAGGTAGGGTGACCCAAAAAGAAAGAAAATCCCCAAAAAGAAAATAGTTCCATCATCATTCAACACTTTCACCTCACTCACACATAATCACTGTTTTTGCAGAGGTGCTCAGGATACAACAGTTTAGAAGTTTATACGTATAAAAATACACAATATATCCCTCCAAACTGCCAGTATCTCAAACCCCTCCTTTAGAGTGCAGGCATTGTACTTCCCATTTCCAAGACTCAAGTCCGGTTATATAAAATAACCAGTTTCCCTGAATCCCTTCACTAAATATTACCCTGCTCACACTCCAACAGACATTAAGAGCTAAAAGGTGATTGGTGCGCTGAGGAGTCTGTGAAGACAAAGAATTTTATCCACGAAAGTAAAGAGGGGAATATATGAGAGTTTAGTTATACCAACACTCTTGTATGGGTGTGAGGCATGGGTTGTGAATGTTGCAACAAAGAGAAGGCTGGAGGCAGTGGAGATGTCATGTCTGAGGGCAATGTGTGGTGTGAATATAATGCAGAGAATCCATAGTTTGGAGATTAGGAGGAGGTGTGGGATTACCAAAACTATTATCCAGAGGGCTGAGGAAGGGTTATTGAGATGGTTTGGACATGTAGAGAGGATGGAATGAAATAGAATGACTTCGAGAGTATATAAATCTGTAGTGGAGGGAAGGCGGGGTAGGGGACAGCCGAGGAAAGGTTGGAGGGAGGGGGCAAAGGAGGTTTTGTGTGCGAGGGGCTTGGACTTCAGTAAGCGTGCATGAGCATGTTAGATAGGAGCAAATGGAGACAAATAGTTTTTAGGACTTGACTTGCTGTTGGAGTGTAAGTAAGGTAACATTTATGAAGGGATTCAGGGAAACCCACAGGTCGGACTTGATTCCTGGAGATGGGAAGTACAGTGCCAGCACTCTGAAGGAAGGATGTTAATGTTGCAGTTTTTTAACTGTAGTGTAAGCATGCCTCTGGCAAGACAGTGATGTAGTGAATGATGATAAAAGATTTTCTTTTTCGGGCCACCCTTCCTTGGTGGGAAACGGTATTTGTGAATGACATGACGGAAGGTATAGACTCCGAAGTGTCCCTGTTTGCAGATGCTGTGAAGTTCATGAGAAGAATTCAATCGGATGAGGACCAGGAAGAACTACAAAGGGATCTGGACAGGCTGCAGGCCTGGTCCAGCAATTGGCTCTTGGAGTTCAACCCCAGCAAGTGCAAAGTCATGAAGATTGGGGAAGGGCAGAGAAGACCACAGACGGAGGACAGTCCAGGGGGCCAGAGACTACAAACCTCACTCAAGGAAAAATATTTTGGGGTGAGTATAACATCAGGCACATCTCCTGAGGCGCACATCAACCAAATAACTGCTGCAGCGTATGGGCGCCTAGCAAACCTAAGAGCAGCATTCCTCCATCCTAATAAGGAATCGTTCAAGACCCTGTGCACTGTGTACGTTAGGCCCATATTGGAGTATGTGACACCAGTTTGGAACCCACATCTAGCCAAGCATGTAAAGAAACTAGAGAAAGTGCAAAGGTTTGCAACAAGACTAGTCCCAGAGCTAAGGGGTATGTCCTACGAGAAGAGGTTAAGGGAAATCGACCTGACGACACTGGAGGACAGGAGAGATAGGGGGACATGATAACGACATAATACTGAGAGGAATTGACAAAGTGGACAGAGACAGAATGTTCCAGAGATGGGACAAGCAACAAGGGGACACATTTGGAAATTGAAGACACAGATGAATCACAGGGATGTTAGGAAGTATTTCTTCAGTCACAGAGTAGGGAGGAAGTGGAATAGTTTGAGAGGTGATGTAGTGGAGGCAGGATCCATTCATAGCTTTAAGCAGAGGTATGATAAAGCTCATGGTATGGGGAGAGTGACCCAGTAGCGGCCAGTGAAGAGGCGGGGCCAGGAGCTATGACTCGACCCCAGCAACCACAACTGGGTGAGTGCAAGATACATGCTAGAGGAATAACTGGCAAAGTGGGGAGACGGATCTTCAACTTTCTAACCAATCGAACACAAAGAGTAGTGGCCAACAGAGTTAAATCAGAAGCTGCCATAGTGAAAAGCTCTATTCCATGAGGCACAGTACTTTCCCCCATGCATTTCCTCATTCTCATATCAGACATAAACAGAGATGTAATCCACAGCACTGTGTCATCCTTTGCAGATGATACTAGGATCTACACGAGACTGTCATCTGCTGAGGACTCGGTTAACCTCCAAGAAGATATAAACCAAGTTTTCTAGTGGGCAATGGAAAACAATATGATGTTCAATGAAGACAAATTCCAACTACTCCGTTATGGAAAACTGGAGGAGAAAATAACTAGAACTGAGTATACTACAGACTCAGATCATGCAGTAGAGTGGAAAAATAATGTGAGGGACCTGGGAGTGGTAATGTCTGAAGATGTCACTTTCGAGGATCACAACAGTGCCACGATCACAACTGCAAAGAAAATGATAGCATGCATAATGAGAACGTTGATAACAAGAGATACCAAGCCAATGATGATCCTTTTCAAATAATTTGATCTCTCTAGGCTGGATTATTGCTGTACATTAACATCTCTGTTCAAAGCAGGTGAAATTCCAGATCTAGAGAGTGTACAGAGAACCTTTACTGCACATATAAGTTCTATCAAACACTTCAACTACTGGGAATGCTTGGAAGCACTTGTATTCACTGGAATGCAGGTAAGAGAGATATATCATGATCTACATTTGGAAAATCCTAGAACGAATGGTCCTGAATCTGCACACAGAAATCACTCCCTATGAAAGTAAAAGACTGGGCAGGCGATGTAAAATACCTCCAATGAAAAGTAGGGGTGCCATTGGTACACCAAGAGAAAACACCATAAATGTCTGGGGCCCAAGACTGTTCAACAGCCTCCCATCATGCATAAGGGGCTGCCTTCAAGAGGGAGGTGGACAGATACTTAAAGTCGGTGCTGGATCAGCTGGGCTGTTGTTCGTATGTTGGACTACGTGCGGCCAGCAGTAACAGCCTGGTTGATCGGGCCCTGATCAACCAGGAGGCCTGGTCGTGGACTGGGCCATGGGGGCATTGATCCCTCGAATACCCTCTAGGTAGATAAACTCCAGGTAGACCAATATGAAGACAACTTGTACACAATGTAAGGTGTTTGTATTGTGGTAAAAGCTTCACAAACGTATGTGGAATGAAACGTGAATGAACCAAAATTGGACAGGTATTAATGTGTGTTCATGTCTGTTTACATTCTCAGCGTCTCTCTCATTTACGATGGCATCTAAAGGCAGTTGTTAGAAGTGATTCAACTCGGTGAACAAGGTATGTCGATGGAAACAATACAGTGGACCCTCATTTTTCATAATTAATCCGTTCCAGAAAGTGTGACTAATATCGAAATTGAGGATTTGCGAAACCATTTTCCCCATAAGAAATATGTAAATCCAATTAATCCGTTCCAGACACCCAAAAGTATTAAAACAAAATAATTTTTTTACATGAAATATACATTTACCTAAACAGAAAACAATGAGACATGAAGAATAAACAATAATATCATGACAGTTACCTTTATTGAAGATTGTTCTTAGTGTATGGAAGACAGGAGAGGATGGATTAATTACTGGAAGGGAAATCCCCTTCATAAAGACTTTAGGTACCAAGTGCTTTTCCGGGGTTACTTCCTTTCTTTGTTTTTTAATGTCACTAGGACCAGCTTGAGAATCGCTGCACACCTGTGGCACTAAATATCTGTCCAGAGAGCTCTGTTTCTGGCGTCTCTTTAAAATTTCCCTAAAATGGGACATGTACATGTTGCCGACACAGCTTGC